GCAGGCTATATGATGCTCAGCTGTGGCCAACATCTGCCAACAGCACAATCACAGAAGCCACAGATGAATTTTCTATTTGAACAAACATTGGCAGTAAGTGCTCCAAAACACCAGGGAGTTTGAGGTCGACTGACACATACTAGCTTTCTGGTTGGTGTAGTAGTTGAGTTCAATAGAAACTGTGGACAGCAATCCAAGTCTAGTACAAGTACAGTGCAAATGTGTTATAAAATCTGCATTCTTTCCCTCGTTCCCTCCACCCATCCCTGATTTTGCTTTCTCTGGTCATCTGATCTAGTCAGGACAGAATTTCATTTTTCTGAGTGTAGGTGGAGTCAGATGACTTTTGGGGAGGGGGAGGAGAGAATTCTTATAAAATCTGACAGCTTACATATCCTGAATGAGACAGATTGGTTTGTTCAGCTAGACTGTGCATATAAGGTATGAGTAAGATGACCTGGTGGTTTGCAGCACAACTCAAGAACTTACGTACAACTGGAAGGTGAAGGAAGAGCTTCATATCTCATACAAGCCTGGGTTACCTGAATAAGGTAATTTCTTTATGCTATACTTTATTTTTGTTACTTCAAACTGGCTGCTCAGTGCATTCAGCATCTCTTTTCTGTTCTGATATGCTTTAGTAGTAAATTGTGTTGTAGTTCATATTCATAAGACAGGATCTTAATAAAATTATGTTAATGAAGTTAGAAAGAAGAACTTTATTAAGAGGTCCTCCTGAATATGTGTGTGAAGAGCAGTAACTAGCACGGCTCTACTGTATTTGAAGCTGTGGAAACATGAGAGCATCAGCAGAGCCAGTCTGAGTGTTAGATGAAGACCAGAAGTGTGACAAACACAGTAAGTAACTGTTTTCTGGCTCTGTACAAAGGCACATCTGTGAAGGAAGTTTTAGCATAAATTACAATTTATTTCCCCTAATACAACTACTAAATTAAGACTATATGAATCTGTGTCAATTTATTAAACATCATCTTTGTATTTACTTTTATGTAGTTGATTTTGCTGAACAGTTCCTACTTCAAGGTAAGTAGGTGTTCAAGGTAGTTAGTGGTCCTTTCCCATTATCATTTTTTGGTAAAAGTGGTTTTGCCTTGGTGTTCATCAAGTGTGGTTTTCTTTTTATTTGTCTTTTTTTTTTGTTAAGTCCAAGTCCAAGGTAAAGTACCATGCTTGTACTGGAAACCCAAAACAAACCCTCACTAACAAGTCATGTTTCTCCATCTAATCATGAAAAAACCTAATACATGCCTTTTTCATCTTCTTGGAGAACCCATTTCTGCAGTGTGCAAAGTATCAGCAGCTCACATGGAGTCCACCACCTGACCTCTAACTGGGAGTGTGAATACAGTTATCTGGGGAGCTTTGTGTATGAGTTGTCTGAAAACAAGAAGACTAGAATTCATGTCAACGTCAGTCTTTTCTTGTTTTCACCACCAAGTTGTTCTGCAATGTGCAGCAAATATATTAAACTCATTTGGAATACAGAACACAAGATATCGAAGACACAGAAGTATCAGTCTTCACGTATTTATATGGCACCCTAAAATGCAAGCAGTCAGACAAGCTTTATATAATTTATATTACTGTCTGATAAGCCTTCTGAATCATTGACATGAATAAAAGCAGAAATAGTTTGGAGAACTTGTAGAGCATGAATAGAGGAACACACCTAGTGCCACAGAAAGTGCCTTTGTAGCTCTCCAGCTGCAACGATAAAGGTTGCACTTTTGCCTGCATGTTCTTACTGCCAAAATTTGCCATAAGGGGGAAGATACTACTGGCAGAGATGTCTGCTCTTGCTGGTGCACACACCAAGTGTGGACAGCAGCACTGTGACTTTCCTGATTGAAGCCCCTGTCTAACACGGCCTCCATTCCAGCTGCCAAGGGAAAGCAGGGAGGTAGGAGGCAGTAGGATGCCAGACAGAATGCTAATGCTTCCAGGCATGGCTTTTACATTCTCTGAGGAATCTTGTGTGTGGCCAAGCACAACAGAAAGGACAGTTTCCCTATAGGTTTTCCCTCCTTTCTTTTAGAAGGCTACTTTCCGGGGCAAGAGGAAAATTGAAGACTTTAAAACCTTACCATTTACCATTACTCAATAGCTAAGAGCAAAAAGGGATCCCAGGTGTTCTTTTCAGCTTAGTTTTTTCTTAATTGCATGCTTTTAGTAAACTTTCATTTGCAACTGAAGGAGAGAAGAAAGCAGAGCATGATGTCAGAAACAATGTGTCCATGCATTGCAGCATCTGCGATTTCTTCTTCTCT